GGAAGCCAGAAAACTCGTACAGGACTGGTACAGCTAAGCACTAGTGGAGAAATAAAAAATAGGTAGGTTGTGCTTGTCACCAAGCCCACAGCAGAGCCTAGGCTAAATGACATAGGTCGACGGTTTTAACACTTAAAAGGAAGTCTGAAAGGGTGAATAAATCCAAGACTTTATTTTCTACAAAGCAATCAAAAATTGATAACACTCTTGCTGGGCAAATTTAAATACAGAAGAAGCAAGAGAAAACATACAAGATTAAGGTCAAGAAACGAAGCATAACTACATGAGGAAAGTATCGAATGATGGTAGAGAAGTCTGCTTACTCAGCCACACTTATGGGAAGCAATCTGAAGATACAGAATAGGTAGATAATCTCCTAACAAACACAAACGACCACAATTAAAGCCAAAAGATTTGAATAGATTGATTTCCAGAGAAGAAGACACTGAAAAGGTAATTATGACTCTACCTATCGAAAAAGGGACCAGTTCCAAATATGCTTTACAAGGGAGGTTCATCAGACCTTCAAAACACATATCATTTCTAAGGGTAATTAAGTATTACAGGCCAAAGAAAAAGAAGAGACTTTCTCTACTACATATTATCCATCTTTAATCTTCAAATCTAATGAAAAACACAAAAGAATTCTATCTCACATATGAATAATGAAGACATATTCTAAATAAAAACACTGATGAACAGAATTCAGCCTTGTATCAAGATGATGACACACTGTGATTGGCAGGCTTACTTCATAAGCCTTTGTAATTGTAGTTCAAAACCAGAAATTATATCAACATAATTCACTGTATCGAAAAAATAATTGAGAGCTCAGGGTATAGCTTAGTAGCACAGAACTTAACTAAGGTGCTCCAAGAAAGACAAGAAAAGACATAGAGCACAAGTGCGAACTCATGCAGCTGCTGTTCAAATACAGCAACCAGTTCTGTAAGGAAATGTGGAAATACAAAAAAATAAAAACTCGAAACCAAATAAATAAACAAATGCCAATAGAAAATGTAAAAGAACACAGAAAACATTTTGATTTTAAAATCTTTAGGCAGAGTAGGCCATCAACAGGTTTTGTATGTAACTGAGTTTCAAAAAAAAAAAAACGGAGCAAAAAATGTAAATTGGAACAAATAAGTATTGAAAAGATAAAAGAAAAATGAAATTTACCAGAAATAAAAGGAGAGTCTGTATAATAGCTGAATGTAAAATAAATATTCATAAAATCAATAGTCATTTTCTATGATAGCAAATAGCACTTAGCAATGGAGATGAGGAAGATATTTGAGCCCCAACAGGAGAAAAGCTATTAATTCTTGAGAAATGTATCAAAAAGAGTGTATAATAGATAAGAAGAAAAGAATAAATCTAATTAACACAAAATCAGACGTGAACATGCAAAGAAATACAATTTATTAGCTGAAAAGAACCACATAATTAAAAAAGCTAAACCCAATGTAATGTAATTCTAATTAGAATCCTATTAGAAGTAGAAGGGAATATTAAGTAAAAGGAAATCTTAAAATTTATAAATAGCAAAATTGACAAGACAGTGCTAACTGAATTTTAAACTAATGGAATCAAGTGAATATGGTCTTGGTACACAATTCAGTGGAACAGGACAGAGAATCAAAACTCAAGCCTAGTACATAAAACGTCTACCAGCTGACAAGGATGGATGTTCAGTTTATAGGAAGAATCGGTGAGTATGGAATATACTGTTCTAGTGCAACTGGTTACCCATCTTTGGTAAAGCAACTTTAAGTAGAATTGGAAATGTGGAACTTATATAAGAATAATTTTTGTATAGAAAAGACAACTATTATGGCAAGACATTCACATATACACAAAAACGAAAATTGAAAGCAACAATAAACCAGGTTAGTACACAGCAATGGTTATCACAGGATTATGGAAAGAAAATAACTATCTGTTAATATGTCAATGCCAAGATAAATTGTGTATTTATGAAATATTTTGCAGCTTTCTGAAATAAGACTTATTCCAGTAGACATTGATAGATTTCGATGAAATGTTGCTGAGTGAAAAAGCAGGATGCATTAAAGAATAAAAACAACCTTGAAAGAACAATACTCAACTTCATATGGAAAAGTAAAAAACCCAGGATAGCCAAAACAATCCTGTACAATAATGGAACTTCTGAGGGCATCATAATCTCTGACTTCAAATTCTGCTCAGAGCTACAGTACTGAAAACAGCCTGTTGTTGGCATAAGAACAGACAGGAGGACCAATGGAACTGAATAGAAAACCCAGGTATCAATCCACACATCTTCATATACCTAACTTTTGACAAAAAAAAAAAAAAAGGAAAAATATCAAATGGAAGGGAAAAGGCATATTTAACAAGTGATGCTGGCATACCTGGATTTTAACATATAGAAGAATGAAAATAGACCCAAATCTATCACAATGAACAAAACTCAAGACCAAAGGGATCAAAGACCTCAACATAAATCCAGCCACACTGACCTCATAGAAGAGAAAATGGGAAATACACCTGAATGCATTGGCACTGGAGATCACTTCCTAAATATAACTCCAGTAGTACAGACACTGAGAGCAACAATTAATAAATAAGACCTCCTAAAATTGAGATGCTTCTGTAAAGCAAAGGACCTGGTCAACAAGACAAAATGGCAGCCTATGGAATAGGAAAATATCTTTACCAACCCCACATCAGACAGGGGGCTGATCTCCAAAATATACAAAGAATTCAAGAAACTAGTCATTAAAAGAACAAATAATCCAATGAAAAAAAAGGGAGTACAGACCTAAACATAGAACTCTCAAGAGAGGAATCTAAAATGGCTGAAAGACACTTAAGGAAATGCTCAACATCCTTAGCCATCAGAGAAATGCAAATCAAAACAACTCTGAGATTCTATCTTACACCTGTAAGAATGGCCAAGATCAAAAACACTGATGACAGTTTATGCTGGAGAGGTTGTGGGGTAAAGGGAACACTCCTGCATTGATGGTGGAAGTGTAAGCTGGAACAGCCCCTTTGGATATCAGTATTGCGATTTCTCAGAAAATTAGGAAACAACCTTCCTCAAGACCCAGCAATACCACTTTGGGCATATATCCAAAGGATGCGCAATCGTTCCACAAGGACATGTGCTCAACTATGTTCATAGCAGAATTGTCATAGCCAAAACCTGGAAACAACTTAAATACCCCTTGACCAATGGATGGATAAGGAAAATGTGGTAAGTACTACACAGCAGAAAAAAATAATGACATCTTGAAATTTGCAGGCAAATGGATAGATCTAAAAAACATCATATCAAGTGAGGTAACCCAGACCCAGAAAGACTAATATCATATGTGCTCACTCATAAGTGGTTTTTAGACATAAAACAAAGAAAATCAGCCTATAAGTCACAATCCTAGGCAACGAGGACACTAGTAGAAACATACATGGATCTATCTACATCAAAATTAGAAAAAGGCAAGATCTCCTGAGTAAACTGGGAGCATGGAAAAGGAGGGAAGAAAAATATATAGCTCAATAAAAACAAAAATAAAAGAAGTATAAATATAAAAAGAAAAAAGTAATTAACAAAAACTTCTAAAAGCCACATAAGCTTGTCCATGTACATGGAAAAAGATACATACTGGTTTAGTATACAGAGAGATGGTATGAGTTAAGGGCCAAGCAAACAGAGATTGCAAAGGGCCACTATGACATATCCAGTAATCATATTTCTATATTTATGTACGAGTAAAAAATATAATCAAATTAAATTAAAATAAGAAAATAAATAGTAAAAACATGAGTAAACATTTCTGCTTATCAAAGAAGCAAAGGCAATAACTCAAATTATCTCTTGGGGAAAGGATAGAGGAGGTGATTATTTTCTTTCTGATGAGAATTGTTGTTTTCATCCTAATGAAATAAAATCAATGAATGTTGCTTTAAAAACATTACACTGAATAATTGAGTTCATTTCGAAAAGGCAAGGGAGGGAAGTGAGGTTACATAGCCCTTTTCTGTGGGAGCTGTCTACATAAAATATATGAAGTCAGGATCCATTAGCCCTCACCCAGAAGAAAGTTACTCACCTTAGGCAAGGGACTAAGTGGCTATTCTGAGGAGCTGTTTGCAGCGGCAAATGGGGTAGCCCCCTACCTAATACTCTAATGACTTAAGTAAATCAGAAAGCCATTTACTCTACTCTCAACTATCGACGCATCTCCTAGGCCTATTACTTCCTGTTCCTTCCCTCTGGCCATTTCACTATTCAGAAATAGCTCCAACGTGGGGGGGGGGGGATTAATTCAGCCCATTTTACCTCGCACTAGCAAGTCTAATAAAAGGTCTGATGAGAGAGATGATCACACCTCATGGCTAAAATCAGAGCTCTTGACCTCTTACTAATTTAATTTTAAGAAAACTTGTCTTCATGTTTGCTTGCAGTACACTTTAATGGATTTGATGCTTGCTGATATTCTCAAGAAAGTCAGAATTTATAAGGCTAAGGGTGTGGCTCACTGGTTAATCATTGTGCACAGGTATAAGATCTGGTATTCAATCTCCAGAATCCCTGTCACTTCATTTTGCACCTGAAGGAAAAATGTCCATTAAGACACAGGAACAATGGCCTTTAGTACCATGTCCTCGGTGACGAGACAGTTAGAGGGGAACTATGGACTAAAGCCAGGTAGTCCCCAGCAGCTTTCACGTGTAACCTCAGTAGGCCAACAAGCTGCCAAGCTACCCTGCCATGGCTGGGTAATTACAGAGATTGCTTCAGTGGGATTTGCCAGGGCTCAGCAACAGCTACAGCCCACATACAGCATGTGCATGACAGTTCAGAGAACCACAACAGATATTCATTCCTTAGGAAAAGCCAGAGGACCAAGACGTACAGTCCAGGGGGTTGGCACTACATTGTCCTCTATCATGAAATGAAAAGAAGAGCCGGAAGAGGAAGAACCATGGAGTAAAACACAATTTTCTCTTACTTGAAGACGACGATAGCTCCCGGACATGGAGGGCAGGCCAGGAGGAATATCTGCAATTAAAGAATTAAGAATGGTTAGTGAGCAAAACACTGAGCACAGCAACTCGGGGTTACTTTAAAAATGCCACTTACTTCAACAACAAAAAAAAGTATATAAAAAATTAGAAAAGTAAAATTTGTATATTTGTGTGTTGGTTAAAATTGTTATAGTTACAAGGCAAACAGATAGTTTACCAAAGTACATTTGTATTTTCATGTGCATGTGTGTATATGGAGAGGGAAAGAGAAAGACTTGGTTTTCAGTGCTTTACCATCAATATGCCATAAGTAGCCAGTCTTTGAAGCTTTTACCCAGGGCAGGTAAAAATAGATTCATCACATGGAAGATGCACACACATGCCATCTGGTTTGCCTCCCATGGGGGTAAGTGGGCTTATCAATACTCAGAGCTGCCAAATTTAGCACATGAAGACACCAAGTTAAACTGGAGTTCCAGAGAAACAATGAGTAATGTTTTTGTGTAAGTAGGCTGGAAGTGTTGCATGAGGCCCATTTCTTTAAAACATTGCTTTGTGTTTATCTGAAAATTGGATGTAACTGGGGATACTGAATTTTCCCACAACTCTTAACAAGCTACCACCACAGACTCTAAACCCACTGGATTTTGTTTGTATCTACAAATTGACCTAGGTAATTTGAGAAGGTCCTATTATCATGACAGGCAAAAATGCAAACCAGAAGAATCTGTCATTCTAAGAGGAGACCAATCAGTTCCCTGCTCTTGGTGTGACACAGGCCTGGACTACAGCCACTGAAGACCTGCAGTTGCTGGGACTTTTCCCATATGGTGGTCTTCAACTGTCATCAAGGACAAAATATCCTTTGCAAAATTTGCTAAATTTGCAAATCCCAAGGTTCTCACAGAAAGCATTCTTAGTCTGCAAACCTGGGACCTCCCCCCACCACATCTGCATGGTGAATGAAAGTTCCAGAAGGAATGAAATCAGCCATTCCTGGTAGCCTCACATGCTATGCGTTTGCTCTTGGACTAAACTACTCTGAGTGCCAAAGACATGAGGGACTGAGGATCAACCTTTAGTATATACCTAAACCTTATGTTTGCAGGGTCCCTTGACCCAAACTGATTTGATTATGTGGTTTAAAAAACTCATTGATAACTGTCCCTGTCATGGTGAAAGCTCTGACAATTTCCATCATTGGACGTTGGCTTTGCCAAGTCTGCATGCTTTGGCATTTTGTTTCTCCATTCTCTCAGAGTCTTCAGGGAGAAGAATACTATACCACAGGGAAGGCATCTGTTTGGCAGCTAGAATCCCTGCTAAGAGGAAAAGAAGGGAGTATGGAAAAGAATACCAGTGGGAGTCCATCACACGGGATACTCCATCAGAGAGCCACTCAAAGGAAAGAGCCTTCTACCAGCACCCCAGACCATGCCTTTCTCCCATGGGTCCATCTGACTAAAGTACAAACTCAAAGATAACTTCAGGTCCACAATTCTCTATTGGACCCCAAATCCAAAAGGCTCTAAAACAGAAAATGAATGCTTGTTTAAAGCATGACTTGAATGGGGGTGATCTCCCTTTATTTATGGGGAACTGCCATTTATTTTCCACAAAAATAAGATGTATTTCATTGTGTGGGGTGCATTCCCAGACCTCACTGTAAAATGCTTTTAGCATCCATTGTTGCCAAAGAAGTGGATTTCTGAACCACATTGAACTCTAGCTTAGCCCTCAGGAGCAGCCCAAAACAAAGAACTAAATGAAGCTGGTCTTCTTTACCCCAGACACAGCAGGAAGGTTACTTACCTTAGGCAAAGAACCAACTTGGAGGCTGTACATAGTGACCCAGCATCAAGCCCACCAAAGCCCACACTTTGAAGCCACAGTACAGAGAGGAAAACGGGTCCCACCCACCTTGGAAAGGTCTCCAGGTTATCTGGAGAATGCCAGAAAGTCATGCCAGTTCGAGGCCAGCCTGGTCTACAAGAGCTAGTTCCAGGACAGGAACCAAAAAAAAAAAAAAAAAAAAAAAAAAAAAAAAAAAAAAAAAAAAAAAAAAAAAAACTACACAGAAAGTCATGCCAGCAGCCTCCCCAAATTTTGGAAATACCCAGACACTTGCAACATGCCAAACAGAAAGTAAAAACCCAATAGCGGGCCTCACAATTAATGAAGTCTTACATTTCTGTCTGTAGCCTCGAGGGGCAAGCATATAACCCTTTAACTGGTTCTGTCCTTCTCTACAGCAGGTATTCATGAACCTACTTTAAGGATTAAGCCTCCAGTTCCAAGCTACTCCATTGTCTGGTTATCCTCCACCACTCACAGAGACAGCAAGCTAGTTTTGAGTTTACAAGTGCTTACCAACAGTTACTTTCACAGGGTCCAATATTCTAATCAACCTTTCTAGCCTTTCTCACCTTGCCTGTCTATGTCTATCACCAGGATAGAGTTGTTTTTTTTTTAAGCAATCCTTTCAGACAAATATGGTGAATATACTAGCAAAAAATTCCCACCTCAATATTCAACACATTCCATTTCTAAATAACCCATAGACGCTTTCAGTCACTTGAAGGATTTCTAAAGTCAAACCTCTGCTTAGTCAGGCTAAGGTCACAACTCTAATGATTCTTAGTTGATCAGGAATTATAAAAACATTTTAACTTAACAGCCCAAGGATCTCCAGGAATTCACTGGGTGGCTCCATTACCTCCATCTTTTGATAACGTATGTTTTCGACTGGCAAAAGGAAAACTAAAGCACCCCCTTGAGCTGCAAACAGTAGGAGAGGGCATCTAGAAGAACAAAGCAGATGAGAGATGAGAAAGGATGCTAGCAGAACCCAGCACCCACTCGGTGCTCCCTATCTGTGTTCGAAACTGCCCAGCACAGTTCCTGAAAGTAAGAGAAAAACTAGGGAGCAAGCAGACAGTGCTACACAGACACATCCCATCACAGGTGGGGCCATGTTATTTAACCTCATTTCCCAGATGAAGAAACTGAGGGAGAAAAGCTCTCACGAGCATTTCGGATGAAACCCCAATTCCATGTACTTGCCACAAAGGCCCCTCCTCCCCCTACAGCTCTGCCCATTTACTGTGCTCAAAGAACACATGGGGTTTTATGTCAGTACTACCACATACATTCCTGAGATCTATTTTTGACGCCATGAGACATCTCAAAACACACCCAACAGGGCAGGCCAGCACACAGATCCAGCAATGCCCACACTAGTTCATTTTAGCTCAAACTCATCTCAGCCCCAGGTCTGGTGGGTACATGTAATTCGCAAACCCTCATAAAACTCAAGTCTTGATAAGATTTGTCACATGAGGCTAGTCATCCCAACGGGAAAAAAAAATGTCCAGATGCTATTGAAAACCAGTCTTAATTCCCTAGGGGGATAAGTAAATAAAAAAAAAAAAAACTCCATAAAAGCACAAAAAACAGTACATTTAACTCTTTCCAGTTACACAATTGCTGTCTCAATTCACCTTCTAACTCTGGACCGTTGTGATTCTAGGCCCCCTCCTGGCCTCCCACCGTCTCAGCCTTCATTTGTCCTACTCCCTATCCCTGTCCCCAATCATACTGGCCCCAAGTTTACCATGGTCCATCCTAAATAAGCTGTTGGGCCAGTTAAGCACTGTAGGGACATGGTTGAACTATATGAAATAAAAACTGAGAGTAAGAGGCTCAAGAGACTGATCTGGAGCCTAGCACACTAGCCTCCAGGTCCTAGTGCCCTCTGTCTTTAGTTTTCCTGATTCCATTTCTGATGAAAACGCCCAGATATCTAGTGATTCCTAAGGACAAGTGCTTACAAGTCTTACTGACCATAGGGAAGATCACATTCCTGGGTTGCACAAAGTCTATCCTGAAGCTCTACCCACTCCTGCTCATACATCTGTAGCCTTATCATTTCTCTCTGGACCGTGACAATCTCTTCCATATGTCCCCCCATCAGGCGCCATGATACAAGAAAGATCTATCTAAAATGCCACTCTGATGTGCTATTTTAAATCCTCCCAAGTCTGGCCAATACCTAAAGAAAAGCACAGCAAAAAGAACATCTGTGCCCCAGGCTCCATCTACCACATAATAAGCAGGCACAATGCCAACAGTACCCTTAACATATAATATGCTGGTCCATGTACTTTTATGGCTTCATTTCTTTGTTCTTTTTTTTAAAGCTTTAAATGTGACTATTTTGCCTGTGTGCATGTCTGTGCACCACATGGAAGCAGTGCTCAAGGAAGCCAGAAGTTGGCATCAGATCCCCAGGAACTGGAGCTTACTGACAGCTGTGAGCTGCCATGTCAGTGCTGGGACTTGAACCTGGGTTTTCTCTAAGAGCAGCCAGTGCTCTTAACCATGGAGCCAGTCCTTTCTACAGCTTAATATCTAATAGCTTCACCTTACTCAATTACATACACATGCCATAACTTTACCATTTCCCTAGTACACAGTTATAGGAGACTTTCTGAGTCCAAGAAAACAGAAATTACCCCTCCATATTCATGGGAAATTGGTTCCAAGACCCCTCCGAATCCGCATCTGTGAATTTTCAATTCCATTATAAAAATGCTGTAGCATTTATATGTCACCTATTTTTGTTTTCCTACATATTTTAATGATCTCTAAATTACTTATAACGTCTAATACAATGTAAACGCTATGTAAATAGATGGTAAACTGCTGTGGGAACTCCTTCAGACAATAGCCTTTAAGATACTGGCCCAGGGGCTGGAGAGATGGCTCAGTGGTTAAGAGCATTGCCTGCTCTTCCAAAGGTCCTGAGTTCAATTCCCAGCAACCACATGGTGGCTCACAACCATCTGTAATGAGGTCTGNTGGAGAGATGGCTCAGTGGTTAAGAGCATTGCCTGCTCTTCCAAAGGTTCTGAGTTCAATTCCCAGCAACCACATGGTGGCTCACAACCATCTGTAATGAGGTCTGGTGCCCTCTTCTGGCCTGCAGACATACATACAGATAGACTATTGCATACATAATAAAATAAATAATTT